AGCGGACATTCCCGACTATTTCCAAGATGGCGGCCACCTTGTGCCGACTAGCTATTTTTAGTACTTTTCTGTCGCGCTGTGGAATATTTAGGCTGATCTAAACATCGGCAACCCGGCCAATTGTGGAGTTATATTGTAGGGAAGCCCGGGACAGCAAAAAACCGGGTCAAAAACGGAGCATCGGGCAGCCAACGGGAAATGTGCAGTTCTGCCAATGGATCTTTCCACGACTCTTGCTGAGGGTAATGCAATGTAAGCCCGAGTCAAGAGTCGCCACGGCTAGGTTTTGTTGTGGTTATGTTTAGATATTGCTTTTTGTCGAGGCAGCCTTTCAAAGGATTGACTGTTATTCTTTTTTTCACAAACCTTATTAGACATGACTTACTATTTTAACCACAGAGCGTTTCATATGTTAAACGAGAAATGAGCTGAAAAATGTATATTTTCATATCTTCAATATAGACTGCATTACCCTGATAATGACGATTTGGAAGATGGGGATTCGGTCATTGGGTCACACAATTTTTTTTTTTCAAAACATCCATTCAACAGTGAGTAATTCTTGCACAAGAATATCAATAATTCTCTTTTATGCACCATTTTACAAATCATCCCCAGGGTTAGGTTTTATTCATTACAACAGGAACATCCTTGGTTGTCAATAGTGAAAAATATCTTCTTAACAGAATCATCCTGACAATAGTGGGGAAAAAATCATACTAACAGAAAAACTTTTAATTAATCTTATTGACAGACTCTGCCTTAGTAATATTGTTATTTCCTTAAGTCAAATCTTGATTTATCTGTTGTAACACATAGTCTCTTCTTTCCTTTCTCATGGTGCAGGCGGATGAAGGGAAAAAGTCCCTGGCTAAGGTACTGGGCTGGCAGGCGTTTGATCCAGAAGACGACATGAGGCAGGACATTTTACTGGACTACTTGTATGACAACTTCATGTTCGCAGTGGGGAAAGGTTTCCCCTGGTCTCAGGCTGTGCTGTGTATGGAGCTGGCTGCAGAGATGCAGAGGGAGTGTCAAGGTCAGCGACTTTGCTACATCTTATGTGTGTCTGCTCAAATTCACTCACTTACTCACTCACTCATGGCCACATGCTGCCATTAGGGAGCATAGTGCCTCAGCAGATGGTTCTCTGCATAGATCTGTCCCTGGCTGCCTCCTGGACAGTGTTGAGTTTAAAGGCAAACAGCCAGTAGGTCATCCTTCAGTTACCGTGTTGTGGACGCCCTCTGAGACGGGACCATGTGGTAGGGGTTGCTCTCTCAGCAGAGCAGCTGGTTCCAGGGCTGCTCTAATTGACCATCACAATTACCCTGAAATACTGCAGGGTTAATGTTTCCATTATACAACAAAAGCTATCAAACACTGCTGCAGTGGTTTATACTACATGATGATCCTTTGTCAGTTTATTGGCAGTGATTAAAATGGACACATTCACACACGCTTTGAAGTTCCCTTTCAAATCATTGCTGCTGTACAGGCTTTTCATATGATGTCTTTTGCTTCATGTTGAATTACTGAGTGTATGCGTCAGTGTTAAACACCACATGCTGCCACTATAATCCACTTTAATGCCCACCAACATGGTCACTGGGTATTCAAATTATAATTATTATGACGTCAATGACAAGCCTCAACAGAAAAGGCCATGATGAAAGGGAAGATTGCAGGCTTCATGATCTTTGATGTCTATGTTGCTTTGGCCAGAAAAGATTTGTGCAATTGTATAATGGTAAAAGGCTTTTGTACTCATTACACATAATGGAAAAATAATAATATATGATTATATTTCATAATCATGAAGATTATTTAAGATTATGTATCATGTTACATATGATCATACCTAATTTCAGTATGGTTATACATTATCTAATTTGCCTATTCCCTTGGGACTCATTCATCCCTGCTTGAAATAATTCTATAAAACTACTTGGACCTGTATTAGGTAGAAATCATAGTTTGATGGCCAGTTTTTTGTATCAAGATGTTGTATTCTAAATGATTGATTAGTTTTTATCTTCCTTTAATTGTGGAAATGGTTTCTTCACAGGTATGCCCCTGGTGGAGGCAATAAAGCACTACAGCACCAGGTCCCAGCCCTATGCACAGAGACTCGGGGACAGGAACTTCAAGATGTTCACAGATCAGTTCTTCCAGTCCTACATGCAGCACTACCAACTGTACCAGTACGTGTTTGGGAGGAACAGGGATGGCTGGGTGTCACAGTACGACCTGTCAGTGGAACCTCCTCCTGAACCTATGCTGTTCAAAGAAGGTAGGCTTGAGGCTACCATGAAGAAAAAGATGTATACATGTACCATATGTCAAAAAGACAGGGGTTTGTCTCATTTTTTCAGCTGAAAGGCATTGCAGAACAACCATTAATATGTCTGCGCTTGTCCATGGTGCTGAACAGAATGTTGCTTGTGTTTGATGACTTGGAGATCTGTATCTGTATCTGTATAGCCGGTATAACCGCCTTTCGGCGTAACACACCAGCTTACCTTGGCCTTTTTATATGCTAAGTAGCCATTATGTGTAGGCCACTTCCTGATACATGTATATGGAAAGACATGCAACCATTTTAACAACCATTTGATATTGAAGAAATACAACACTGGATAACTTCATCTCTCAGTTTTTTTTCTGTGTCTGTTGGTAGAAAAATTGAGGTGACAGTTATTTCAAGTTGCAACATAGTTCATAAGTTGTACTGCCACTATTTGCATTCTTGTAGGAAAATCTTTCAAGCAATGGGACTATGAGCGACAGGTTGTGGAACTGCAGACAATGGAGGCAGAGAGAAGGAAACTACGGGAAGCACAGAAGCAGAGTTTGGAGGAAGAAGGAGACAAACTCATCCAGGAAGCCTTCAGCAGGCTGGAGGGGATAGAAGGCCCTGTGGACAAAGAGGTAACTAGTATATAGGAAACAAGTGTGTCTGCCATGTAATGGTTATCTTGCTGTAGATATCTATTGGCTTATGAAAGGTTCTGATGTTGATATCTCGTAACATTTGTGAGCAGTGAGGAGTAGCAAAATGTGCTGTTTATGATGAACTCCCATCAGAAGCTGTTGTTAACTTCCTGAAAAGCTGATTTTCCATTATAGTCTTGATAAGAAAGACAGATGCTATGTACAGCTTCAGCAAACAACTTCACCTTACTAACTTATGACTTGCTGTTTTGGGATGCAGAGGATTGCCCATTTTTGCAGTTTTTCACTGAAACATTTTTTTTCAGACATTAGCGAGTGTTGTAGGAGACAGCATCACGGTGCACGTAACAGTCACGCGGGACAAGCTAAGGACCAGCATTGAGGAGGTGCAGGACAGCCTGGAGTTCAAACTGGAGAAGAACAAGATTCCCAAACCTCAAGGGGCAAAGACACCCACCCCTCCTGTGTCAGGCAAGAGACGCAAGTCACCAGACAGACCAAGTACACGAGGCTCAAGCACATCTGCGCGGGGGAAGAAGAAATGATGACGTTTTGTGTTTTAAAAGTTGTCAAGCATGTAAAGAACTTTTTTTCATATTTTGGGACACAGATGTTGGAAGAACTTGATTCACATCTGCTCAATGAAACCAGTGATTTTATCAACATGTTTTGACATCTGAGAAGGATATAAAGAGTATTTTATATGTATATAACAATGGAGACTGCTGTCTTAGAATTCTTATCATATAACAAAACCCTTTTTAATGTCTACAGGTGGAGTTCTATAATTCTAACCATATTAGCAATAAAGTTATAACAAATGTGCGATCAGTGATATTTGATAAGGCCATGGATATGATGGAAAAGGACTATCCATGTGACTGTTCACATTCTAATTTTCCTACAATCTATGATTGAAAACTTCTGCCCATCCAGATCCATCCAGACTAAAGTCTTGTGATGTATGTTTGTAAATTAGGGGATAGGAGACCAGTACTCAGAAGGCTTTTGCTAATCCAATTTGCTTCTGCACAAATATTTCAGTCTCTTCCTGATTGTTGTACCTGCCTAAAATTTTGTAAATTTTGTTGTGACTTGTCAAGACTGTTTTCATAACACACAATGTTTGTACGTGAACAAGCCATCAGCTATATAATTCATGTCTTTTTCTGTGATATTAAAAAGTGTCAATGCTATTCTTTTCAATGATGATTCCAGACTATATATTATATACACACACATGTAGTTTGTATTTACTTCAGGGCAAATCTCCAACAAGGCTGTTGTGTAATGTATACGAAAGACTCAGGCAGAAAGGACAGAACAAAAAGTAATTTTGGGTCCCTTGAATTTTTATTTATTTATTTTTGTTGTTGTTGCTTAAGTTAGATAGTTCCTCTGCCAAAGAGATGAGGTCTGAAAGAAATCTATAGGTGGGAATGGGTTAAAATGTGAAACAAAACATGCACGTTCGAGAAGCTGAAGGGGCAGTTCATGTCCTACCCCTAGCTGTTTTAGATAACACTTTACCCTACAGAACCCGTGTCGCAGTAGTTTGTGTGAGAATCATGCCATTTTGATGGCTGCCGACGAAAACTGGCAGTGACCATGGTGCTGATTTCGCTGTCCGAGTACAAGTCCTGTCTTACTACAGTTACCTGCTAGGTGGCGCTTCACTACATGGGCACAGCTGATGACTGGGCGTTCTCGCGAGAGTCTCGGCACGAGATTTTCGTTCTCCAGCAAGCAGGCCGACTGAGTGCGATCATCGATCTGTGAGCCTCGATCTGTAGTTTGTGGAACATTTTCCGTCTATTTTTCCTCAGAAATTCTGGCGTTTCGGCTTGCTTCTCCCATCAGGAGAAACACAGGCATCCTTCTGCCCTGTGTCTTTCTCTTGGGATCGGTGCGAGGTTCGTTCTTCGGTGCCTGGAAGAAGGGCTCGTCGGCTGGTGAGGAGGGGTGTGATACCGGGGGTAATCCTACCAAACAGCCGCCTTGGGGTTCAGTTGCCGGTACACCTAAACAGTTGGACCGTTTTATGTGCGGAAACGCCATGTCTTCTCATATCGACCCTGTCACCGTCTCCGCAACCGGCAAGCACACCGCTACGGTACCTACTAGTATCTTACTTGATTTACCCCTGGGAAATTCTTTCCTAATTTGTAGGTGTCAGTAGTGTTGAGAGTGGCACCTGGCGATCAATAAGCATTATGTGGCATCATGGCAGGTGGACTAGACCACCTTTACAATGGTCTACAACTTATAATCGCCATTCTTGTCTGTTGCATTCGTATAAACCTTCAGGGCATCTGTGACAGTGTTCATGCCCTTGAAACTTGTGTGTGTGTGTGTGTGTGTATTCGTGTGTGTGTGTATTCGTGTGTGTGTGTGTGTGTATTCCTCTGTGTGTGTGTGTGTGTATCCGTGTGTGTGTGTATTCGTGTGTGTGTGTATTCCTGTGTGTGTGTGTGTGTGTGTGTGTGTGTGTGTGTGTGTGTTCCTGCGTGTGCGTGCGTGTGTGTATTCATGTGTGTGTGTTTGTGTTAGCGAGTGTGTGTGTCTCTCTCCCTGACTGCCTGTGGGTGTGTTAGTATGACAACTGATGTACAAATGTATAGGCGAAGAAGAATTTTCTTCGATTGAAGAAGAATTTTCTTCGGTTATTATTTTTTAAGCCATTACCTTCACTACTAGTTCATGATTTTCACGTGGCAACAAGAAGTTTCACATTACGTTAATGCATGATTAGTGAGACAATATTACAAGGACCAGGTTACCGAGAGGTGATTTTTGACAAGCAGCTGTTGCCATGTTTCCACTTGAAATCAATGTTAAGACTACATGTAGGTATACATTATTTCCAGCATGAATTTTCCAGCAACAATATTATGTATTGGTGTCCTTTGTGTTATCCATCTATCTCCCAGGTAATGTGTTCCCACTAAAAGCTTGCGCATTAGCAGATAATCTACCTAACATGGTGAGATCATGTTATCATTTGCATTTCCTCTTGAGCAAAGTAGTTGGAAGATTACCTGGATAGTATTGGGACCCTAGTAAAGAGATCTTTCATTTTAAGATCACTTTCACTAAGGAAGTTAAGAAAAGAGAACCTCTTTGCTTTCACTAATCTTGATTATTGAAATCGCGATGTGCCAGATTCCCTTTGAATTGCAACAAAACCTTCAAAGGTGCAGCTGATGACTACTTGTTGTTATGAAATTGAATATTTATGCTGGCTTTGAAGAGCAGCTGTATTAATCATGTGTGTTTCTGATGTTACCAGTGGGTACTTGGCAACAAGGCAACATCATGATCACCTTCTTCAAAGACCTGAGTGATGACGAACACAGTGTTGCTAGTTGCATTCGCAGTTTGCAAGAAAAACACATGTTCCAGATAATTGGATTTCCAGATCACAAGTCTGTGTGCAAATTAAACGAGCCTCCCAGTAGTTGCCACTAATGTTTATGTCAAAACAACTCCTTGCAGGCTCAAGCTTCAATAACACAAAATCCTGTTTTTCGGAAAACAAATCTTATGAATCTGAAGCATTGCATGTCCATGCGAACATTTGTCTGCATATATGCCCTCAGGTGTTCAACACCAGACTAAGTATTACCTGGAAGTATGGCAAATAGCAGAGCATCCGTCATTGGCATATGGTATTTTTATTTGTACACGTATGTACTAGTAATAAAATGCATAAAATTGCTAGATTGCAGAAAAATACAGTAAAACCAGTATTTGAACTGAACCACCCAATTCTAAGTGAAAAAAACAACATTTTTTTGAACTTGAAGCTTGCGTTTTGTACAAATGTGAAAGTGTTTCCAACTAGACTCTCAATCTCGTGGCTAGCTCATGGGAACTACTAGTATGTGCTGATGCATGTGAGTTACGTAAAGCTACAAAACCATCCAATACATCAGTGTCATTGACTAATCCCCCTTTGTCATGCTGTAGGTTATCTTCCTCCATGGCCTGGGAGACACGGGGTATGTATGTTATCTACATGTACAGCTCTATTTATCATCAGTCACAGGCTAGGGGTGGGGAGGCAATCTCAAAGTCATCCCTATCATATATGAATTTATAGGCAGGGCTAAGGCCACACCAATTTATTTTTCTTGGTTAACGGATTCGCCGCTTCATTTTTGTCTGATTTGCAAATAAAAATAAAAATTCAGAATCAACTGCAAAATTTTGCCCTGAACAGTTGAAAACAGACCTTTTCATCCTAGTTGTTACAGTTATTTCATCTTTCAATGCAATGGTATCATTAAAAGTTCAAAATGCATTGTTTAAATTTTGAACCAGCCTGGTGTGTTGACTTCATGGCTCCTATCGTACCATTTTGGGCCATAATACGATGCCTAGGCCTGTTTTTATTTTTTTTTTCGCCCGCCCGCTCCATTATTTTTCTAGAAAAATCCGTTAACCAAGAAATTAAATTGGTGTGGCCTAATTGATAAAGATCTGATCATCAAGCACTATATGTCACTGGAAGAACTACATGTGTATGGCACATTGGACCATCCATAGCAGTTCTTTGCAATTGTGATCAGGGTATGTATTTATGAGGAGTCATTTTACGACAAATTGTTAGGCAGTGCGATATATAACCTCTAAATCTGGACACACAACACTATGTTCATGTATGTTCACAGACTGGAACATTTTGCAAGTTGATAAACATCCCAGATCTCAGACAACTCAATATGTCATACTCAATTGAAGCTAGATATCAAACAACCTGCCTGAAAAGTGATGTATAAAGGTGATGATCGGATCAGATATCATTGGCTATAGCTAAATTTAGACTGATGAAACAGGAATATTTTTTTTCTATAAATCAATTATTTATTGGCTCATTTTCCCCAGCAAGATGCTGTAGTTTACAGTCCATGTAGGTCTGATCATAATTCAGCTCCAGGGGCATGCATTTGCTTCTTGTGTAATTCAAGACAGCCTGTGGATGATATTACTAATGCTATATCAAAATTCCACAGTACATGTACTGTACCTACTTTGATCTACTTTGAGCTATGAGCATGAACATGCATATCTCACAAAATTGTTCATATCAGACACTAGCAACTGGTACCTCCTGGATCATTTGGTAATACATGTAGAGTAAATTTCAGGTGGCCCAAAGCTACACTCACGGCTTTGATAAACAGCTGCCATTAGGAAGAAAATGGCTGGGAACCATCCCCTAATGGACAGACTTTCAAAACTAGGATTTTAATCCCTCTCAAAATTTGTGGTACTGTAAAGGAACTTTTCTTAGGAAAAGGCTGGTAAAAGATTAGATTCATTTGAATCATGGTTTTATCTTCTTTCTGAATCTTTCAGACACGGCTGGTCGTATGCACTGTCAGAAATCAAGCAGCCCCACATCAAGTACATCTGCCCTACAGCGTGAGTCCACTTCTTACTCCTCAAGGCTTAGTAAGTTCTGTACCGCATCAATGGACAGTGGAATAAAGTGGTAATTCAGGCAATGAAATGTGCATTTTTGGTCACAGATATGCATATGATATAGGATGGAGAAATACAAATACTAGTATAGATGCAAACAGATTGAATCCTATAATATAATCTCCTAACAAATGTGTTCACAGTTTTTTTTAAAGAAGCTAAACCAGATAGTGAGTGAGTAATCCTGCTTCAATTAACTAAATTCAATTTTTTATTTGAGTAAGACATGGTGTAAAATGTGAAAAGTAGTCCTTTCCTACATGTCAAAGACATAAGATAAAAGGCACTAAAATTCACATCACATAATGGTTTGGGCTTAAAACGTGGTATATTTGGATCTGTCGTAAAATGACAATACTTTATTTAAAAAGAGTTTTTTACCTCAAATTTCAGTCAAAGCCAGGTGTCAAATGACAAAGAACAAAATCTTGTGTGTTATGCTATATACAGATACTGTGCCAGCTTTCCAGATACTGATATAGAAAAATTGCTTACTGCAGACAGTAACTGTTGATGATGCATGTTTGTACTGTCATCTCCTTAGATAACCTATTATCAGTCAACCCAGACCTGCCCTCCCCAAGCCTGACAATAAATCCTTGAAAAGACCCCAATCAATGAGGTAGTTCAGATGTTGGATTATCAAACAGACAGCCAGTCAGCCAAGCTTTGGACAATGCTGTGATCAAAAAAGATGTAAAGTTAGAACCGTTGGTGTCTCGTCATGTGAGCATGACAGAGTGAATCAAAGCAGCAGTCTTGTCATGATGGAGCTCCCAATTAGAGCACTACAAGTCATTTTCTTTAATAGTTGTCTAATGGGCAGAATACCGGTAAAGGGAAATGACAGCTACATGTAAAACAGAGGCTCGGGGATGAACACATGACTTGGGATGGTGCTAATTGTTCTCCTGGGGTACAGTTCTATTAGCTTCCCAGTCTTCATTTCGTGGCGTCGTGTGGTGTAGTGGTACATCACTGGACTATGAAACGGAGAGACCCGGGTTCGATTCTGGGTCGTACCTGAACAAGTCCGAACATGCGCCGCGACGTTGTTATCCTTGGGAAAGGTACTTTACACGACTTTCCTCACTTCACTCAGGTGAAAATGAGTACCTAGCTAGGGACGTCCCTCGGATAGGACGTTAAATGGAGGTCCCGTGTTTAGGAGAGCCACACCTCACGCACGTTAAAGAACCCACCACACTTATCGAAAAGAGTAGGGGACCTTCCCGGTGTGAGTGGTTCAAACATTACAGTCTGGTCTCAGGTTTGACATCTTTGAAAAGGTGATAGTCACCTGTTATGTCAATCCTTCCACAAATGTGGTAAATCGTCATAAATATAAAATACATAAATATATATTTCTTTTTCTGATTTTTGAGTGTCTCATTAGGTCTGCATAATGAGTGACTGTCAATGGCATTGACAGTCACTCATGGACTGTCACCAGGGTTCTTATTGAGAGGTTTTCTGAGGAATGATGGACAGTACAGATGAGAATGGAGGATTTCTCTTCAATTTCATGTTTGAGAGGAGGAATTGGATATGATTGCCTTAAGGCCATGCATGCATCATCAACAGTAGGACCTTTGATCAAAGAGCTACAAAGAAACAACTAGAGCGGCCATTCAACCAGCTGTTGTGTTGAGAGGTGAAAATCAGCAGTAGCCCCTTGTATAGTGTTTGACGTACTTTGCTTCTGTCCACATGGATCAATTACTAAATGGTTCTGGTTATAGCAAATCAGTAGTCGAGAGGGATAAATAACACATATGATGGATCGTTTACAACAAACGAAAACCATAAGGAATTCACTAATGTACCCTGGTGTGTCTGAGGCATACCTGTACATGTACATTACTGATGTACCTTGCAAATAAAGCCCATCACAAAATGTAATCATGACCGTTCCGGGAAATAGGCCCTGTTATGTGGTTCGTAATTGTGTTCTCCCCGCCAACCAACTTGTGGGTGAGGTTGCAGGATTTGATCTTCTCTGCCTAATCACGCTCATAACCTAGATTCACGGCTCTCTTGCAGCCCCAAGATGCCCGTAACCCTGAATGAGGGTTATGAGATGACGTCGTGGTTTGACCTGTTCACGTTGAACGTCGCTAGCCGGGATGATGAAGACGAAGCTGGGATCAAAAAAGCTGCAGCTCTCGGTAAGATATTAGTAATGCAAAAGTTTATTCAAGCAACAAGAAGTTACCATGACCTTTGTAAGATAATGCAAATGGCCTTTATTAGTCCTACGTTTGGTCCCCAATATAAATATACAATTGCTCCATTTTGTCCCAGTATTGTGTTCCCCACATGAATGTCGCTAACAAGATTATTCATCATATCACGACCATCAAAGTGACCAATCAGATGTGCTCATTAGTCAGGTGGTTGCTTGCATGCCCTTTGATGTGTGCTTCTCAGAAGCAATTGAGCGGTCTTCCTTGAAGTACTCTGGTACTTTGAAAGCTTCTTTTGGTTCATTTCAGATGAAAACTGAGAGCTTATGCCCAGGGCACCAGAATGGCATAGCTAATTGGTGGCTCTTTAGCCAAGGAATTGATCATTAGTACAGCGGTCTTGAAGGTAGTGACTTCCTGGTTAATGAGCGAGTTGAAGAACTTATTACCATTTGGTCTGATAGCCACTAGTGTTCTTATTCAAAGATAGAGCTTTCTATTGCTACAAGGGGTATGTTCACTGGTCTTTTGAAGACTAACTATTCATCCTTGCCTTTGTCATCCCTTTGATCCTCAGATTCTAAAGCTAGGCTCTGTCCCTATTGCTCTAGTCTATAGTCCCTGTAGCAAATACTGTATGTGAAATGATGTTATGCAGCTCCAATGTCTTTACTACAGCTGACTCGCCTATTTCTGTATCAGGATAATCACTGCCATCTGTGTTCCCTGCTGTCAAAGATCCAGTATATCAGTGTAGTAAACATCTCTTTAGACGTCGGTGAAGGTTAGACCATCCAGGTAATAAGATATGCCAAAAAACAGTTACTCAAGCAACTAGATATGATTACCTGGATGTCTTACCTTCACTGACGTCTCTTTAGACCCCAACTAAAAGGTTAGGGAGAGTTGGAAATATTTTTCAAAATGTAAACTTAAGGGATGTAGGGGCAAAAAATGTTCCCATAGCTGCTCCCTTCCGAGATTTTTGAATGGCACATCCCTTAGAAGTATTTATCACTGTCTCCACGTTTCCGGTGTGTTGGGCAGATTCATGTCCACATCCATCCATTCCCAGTGTAGATTTCCCCTGCATGATCCATAAAGCCTAGCAGACAGGTTATGATCCAGGCCCTCCCTAATGGAGAAGGATCACCGCTGCTGTTGTCAGTGCTCAGTATTCACAGTGTCCATGGCTGCTGACGTCACCACACATTGCCGGGAGTGCTGTGAATGATACTTAAGCTGGTGTAATAACAAGCCTCATGCACACTAACATACGTACATGGACATTAGGTGTAGCTGAAGGACATCCTGGAGGGCTGCTGTGCAGAATAATCACTCAGACATTAACTGAGATACAAGTACAATGTACAATATCCCTGTCACACTGAGAACAAACAAGCAGCAACTGTTTGATTCTGCAACAAAGATATTTCAGTTTTTTGCCTGACTAATCGTGCTCCTGGCGGCCGCCCGCCCCGAAGTTGCTGCCCGCCTTGGGTGGGGGTCATTAACCTCCGGCCGAGAGCTTGTGTAACACAGGCTAGGATGCCCTTTAGCCCCTAAAGGTGATAATCTTCCAGGGCTCCTACACCAATTACATACAGGTACAGAAACAGACATTTACAATCACATTTATCATTCACTGATACAGTATTAAAAAATAATATTAGATATTGTTGCAAATAATGTTTGGCTATTAAAACAATTTCTTGACCTTGTGATGTTACACAGTACAGGGAATGGTGGAGGAGGAGGTGAAGGGGGGCATCCCCGCTGACCGGATTGTGCTGGGAGGGTTCTCCCAGGGGGGTGCACTCGCCCTGTATGCCGCCTTTACCCTGGACAAGCAACTTGCAGGGATGGTAGCACTGAGCTCCTGGCTGCCCCTTCATGAGTCCTTCCCAGCAGTAAGTGGAACATGGTGTTATCTTGTTTTTCAGCACTGTTCGACAGTCTCCTCTAGATCTCCTCCACTCCAGTCCTATAATAACCTCATAATGCCGTTGAGTGTTTATACCAACTGTGTTGCAAGGTAATGGTGTGAGTTCAAACACGATGCGATGATAGTCAGAAAGCTGCACTTACATATAATGGAAAGCCGTGTGAAAAGGGTGAACTTATCGCACTTGTGTGTAATGATTATGTCTAGCCCTAACTACACAGTTACACAAACATGTACATGTACATTGGGATTGCTAAGAATAGGGTGGAGCTGTGGTGGCCAGTTGGAAAAATGGAAGATCAAAATACCACGGGCAAAATCTCAGAAAAATGATTGTTACAATTATGTATGTGGGTTTCCTAGTTTTAAAAGTTTGCGGTCACCACTAAAATTTCTACACCACATTCTATGTGCTCTCTAACTTTCAGAGATGTCATAAAAAAATGTTCTGTACAAATCCTGCTCAGGTACAATATAAAGACATGAGAAATAGCTTTGTCTATGCTAAATCTCGATATGGGTTAAACCTATATACATATAGTTCTATGTTTAGCATGCCCAGCAGGTGTTTGTAGGATGTAGGGGATTTAGTGATGTGAGGTACATGCACTCAGAGAGTGAGCCTTTCATCTGTGACCTTTCCTAGTCACCTCAGTTGCCAACAATAGTAGACATTTAGATTTTGCTGCTAAATGTCCTTGGGTTACAGGGTTAGGCAGCAGGGGAGGCTCAGGGAGAAGGTCAGATATGATGTTTACAAACAGAGATTCAAAGATGCAGTGGATGGAAGATTTTGTAACACTACCATTGCCTCCTTCCACATTCTAGTCATATCATGCCCCAGCTAATCCTACATGACGTGCAGTGTTGGCTTCCTTCCTCTCCCCAGGCCATGATGGTGAACAACCAGGCTCCCATCCTGCAGTGCCACGGGGATGCCGACCCTGTCGTTCCCTACAAGTTTGGCCAGATGACCAGATCTGTACTGGCCAAGTACTGTAACAACTACACCTTCAAAACCTACCCCGGCATGATGCACAGCTCCAGTGCAACGGCAAGTGGAAAGGATGCATTGTATACGTGTGCCTTTGTTTTTGTTTTTTTTTTGTAATATTTATGGAACTTCAAAGAAATGTATGTAACAACAGGGACATTTGGATCTACACAACCATATTTAGATCATTTGAATCTACAGACCTTCCTTCATAGCAAATGTCATTACAATCCATCCAGGCCTTCTTAAGTTACGCTGACCACAAATCTGTGGAAACAAACATACTCACGCACGCACACACACATACACACACACACACATGCACACACACACACACAGACCCAAAATAATTTCTCCATTTTTCATGGAGGTACAAAGAGAGAATCCCTACCTACCAACCCAAATTTTTTTCAGGACTGTGATCAGAAACACCACATTAATGAGATGGGGAGTTGTCATGTTTCATGTTGCATCATTCTGACATGCCATTTCTCTTCTTGTCCACAGGAAATGCAGGATGTAAAAGAGTTCCTGGACAAAGTACTGCCTCCAGTTTGAACTCCTCCCCAAAGAGCTTTGAAACACTGGTTTATCTCAGGCCTTTGTTGGAACTGTACATGGAAAATGTCATCACACATCCATGTACTTGTTGTTTTATGATACAAAAGCTGTCAGTGGTTACAGAAGGATGGTAGTTTGCATATGATATCAGTAACTGTTTCTGTTTGTTCTTGTATAGTTCTAACGGTGAGAGTACATGTAGGACCATATCATGATTTAACTGTGGCTGTCTTGGATAATATGATACGTTGTAACGTACATGTACATCTTAGTGCTAGTTATTGATCAGACTAATTTGAGAGCTGAGATTTTGTCCAAAGTTTTCATAGACTTGATTATTGTGTTTCTTGTCAGTAGACATTCTACCAATTTAGTGTAGGTATGACAAATGAGATAAACCTATGTGAACTAAAGATGATGTTATGATGTTGATGCAGTAGTGTATATGGGGAAGTAACATGTAAAAAGCTCCTTTAACCTGTAAAATACCAGGAACAAGAAAGGATGACTATGTTACCAGAAAAAAAGTAGTTACACCCCACAGTTACATGTAATTTATGGAGCACCTGAAGTTATACAGAAATGTCTTGTCTACAACAGCTACTAGTTTATACATGTTGGTAATTTCCAAGCAGATGTCTGGAGGAAAAACATGAAGGATCTATCCTCCCAGTAGCTGCTTGTAGATTATTGTGGAGATTGCATTATATACACATGTTGTAGCATGTAGCATGACAGTTATACATTGTGATTTATTATAGTCCCAGTTGTATAGAGTACCTTGCCTTCCTCCTCATGTTTGGATAACACTAGTTAAGTGACTGTAGGACACACACATCTGTAAGGCACGCATAGCTGGACCCAACAGCACAGCTTGTACAGCAGTCTTCCTACAACATAGCCTTCTTTCTACCCTTAACACTAACTTCCACAGAGTCAACTTTTACAAGTCTTTTCAAAAGTCTTGTTTGTTCTCTTGATGTCACTCAATGTACACTACTCTATATGACCAAAATATAATGAAGGATTTCTGTATCTGCATAGCCAGTATACTAGTAGCCTTTGGCATAACACAAAAGCTGTAATGATTTAAACAGGTACACAGGACTTAATAACAATATAAGCATAGGAGCTTTAAGACAGGATCTTACCATCTTTATTAAACTACTGACAAGGTAGTCACAAGACCAAGAGGTTCAAAGGTCAACACAGGTCGCGTGACTGGACAAGGGTGTTGTATATGGGGGGTAGTCAGTGTGGTCTTGGTCTGTATGACCAACTTTCTAGCCAGTTGTACACCTAGCATAACTGCATGCTCACACAATCATCTTCTTAATCCTATAGGCAGCTGTATGATAAGATTGATAAGACTGTATAGCCATGCATCTACTGTCAAAACTGTAGTTACTCCAGAGAGGCTGATTCATCACTGCTAGTTTCTCTTCATTTCCCTACATACAAAAATTACAAGTACACTTAAGGAAAGGAATTTGACCACTGTAGAATTTAGTGGCAATAAGAAAAGCCAGAGAGCAGAGTATATCATGACACACACATTTATGTAATGTCCGTTGTTGCATGTCACTTTACTTTGACTTATGGTGTACAATGGTGACTTATCCAGTGTACTAGAAAGACGTACTTAAGGTACAAAAATCATTGTTATCATTGTTTGAAACCGTCATATTTGAAATAATGTAGTTATGGGTATGTATGGAGAGCCCCAACAATTATCATGGTTAAGTTGATAATTATTGTTCATCATTTTGTGTCTTTGGTGGTCATAAAGAAATTGGAAATGTGTAAGTCTTTGATTCCATTTATGTATGATGACATCAACTCTAGATGTAACGTTAGTTGGTGATTGTTTCCAGATATGTAACTTAAGAATCTTTCACAGTGACTTTGTGTCTACAGTGTCACCTTGCAATATACTGGTACATGTAATTGTAATACCATTGAAGAAAATCCAAGGTCATAAATGTGCAGGAAGTGGTTTGACTCTTTCTGTGTTTCTTCACTTGCATCTGTTGAATTGAGTCAGATCAAGGAGGTTATGGTCAGATATGTCAAAATCGTAACCATTGGATGTGCAGAACAGAAGACATCAAAATTGGAATTTTTGCTGCAGTACCCAGAAACCCACCAGGTGGTTCAAAATCTAATGATTATCATTTTTTGTATAGGTCAACACCTAACAACATAACACCACAATTTTATGACAATCCATCCATAGCTTCTTGAGTTATTGTGAAAACATCAACCTTCTTCTATTATATATAAAGGCGAAGGTACATGTAAAAACACCATGGTCACCACAACACCTCCCTTGTCAGATCTTTTCATGTTGTCAGACATGTTGACATAGATATCGCCGCTAGGTGGCTCTACAAGCCCAGACATGCCTGAACCAGCTGCCTGAACCAATGAATCACGCCAAGAATTTCGCGCCAAAAATAAGGATGAAACCATTCTAACCATTATCATGAAGACGCTGTTGTTTCTTCATTAAAGATAGCCACATTGTGATCTTGTGATTCGTTTTGCTCTAAATAATAAATAAAAGTGAGACTTTTTCTACGTATCATGCCAACTTTGGTGTATGGTGGTGAGAAATTATACTTGCTTACCCTTCTGTGGAATGGTAGCTTCCGAAAGAGCTTCAAAACATGGCGGAAAAGAAGTAGGAGGCACCTAGCTTTGGTTCTGTTTTCTTTCCAGTTTCGTGCGGTCACGCTGCTGCTAACTTAAGATCACAGTGGGCGGGTGAATTTAGAGAAAGGTGAGGATTCTATTTCTATATTAGTTTCAATCACTGGAGTCTGTCTTGAGGGTGTGAACCACGAAAAGTAGATAAATTTATAGCGAGCGAGTAAGTTACAGCTGTCGCCCCCCTTCCCCCAAATGCTTGAGGAAGAAGCCAAACTTTTTTGACAAAAATATTTATAATCTATACAGCAATTCACTGTTACCTGCATGGCTGATATTTTTTTACTTTGGTATAATGATAAAACTGTATGATATTCACCTGTAGAATCCATTAAATTTGAGAAAAGTTGACCCTAGGACTCAGTAGGAGGTTGGTAGATTGGAGACTGTCAACACAAACTGACAAAACCCAGTCGTGATTTTTACATGAATATTGATGAACCTCATAACACATCGGTGTGAAATTTCCACACGTAGAGGTTGGCTGTTCACTTTACAGAACAATGCTTGCTTTAATAGTACAGAACAATAGCCTAATAAATACAAGGTGAGAAAAGGGTGAGAATATTTATGAAAACCTTCACCAAGACAGTTAACTGTTATGTTTCCAGTGCCATTTGATGTGAATAAGTGGAAACATCTAGACAAAATGAAGACCAAGATAATTATGTTTCCAGTGTCATTTGTGGACAACATAACATAAACCGTTAATGGATCCTTATGATATTTGGTATGTGAATAGCTTTTGACAAAACAAAGTCAAGTTCAATTGTGGACCCCCTGGCAGTTCTCTGTTGTACTACAACACAGTACTGGTGCAGAATTTCTGGGTTTTGATATCTGTTTAACCTGTCTCCACAGATGGACTTTGACCAGACACAAGCGATTGACTGGGACCAGTATGAGGACTCCACTGATGATGAAGTCGACAGTGATCCCAAACCTGTAAGAGAAAGGATAGATAAAGTTATAACATGTTGTATCTGGAGACAGATAGAAACCTGGTTTGTGTTGTACTTTCCAACTGTTTTCAGTTTATGGACTGGTGCTATGTTTGATGATAATTCATGGTTATCTTCCCTACTGTTACAAGGTGGCCCATCTGAAGGTGTTGTGTCAGAGAGGGTTCCCTGAAACTCTCTTCCCACTCTACCAGGGAGACAACCTGATTGGCCGCAGTGACACTTGCAATGTTCATGTCCCTCTAACGGTATGGTACCGGTGTTATTGTTATTTCAGTACATTTTATTAGTCGTGAAAAAGACTAACTAGTAGCTCTGTTGTCTTCATTACACAAAAATAATTGGGACCCAAGCCATGGGTGTCCAATATTTCTTCCAATATTGCTTTTTTCACAAATGCGTATTGCACACTCAATGAGGTTTGAAACATCGCCTGCTAATGCCAGCTTTTGAAAGTAATACATGTTACACAGTTTAAGTGTGATTACTGTATTAGTTGTGCTTTATCATCTATTTTGCATATGTATTCCTAATTGTGATGTTGTTTGCCTTCCACTGATAGTCATTATCAAAGAAGCATGCCTGTATTGAGGTTCGTGGTGACACCCACTTCATATATGACTGTGGGAGCAGGAACAGAACAAGGCGTGGAGAAAAGGTGTGAAAACAATTAGGGTTTATATTATAGACGAGAATAAAACTAGTAATACAATCATCTAGTTCCGTTGCAGGGTGTAGGGTGTAACTAAAATGGGCACCTTCTATCTGAGGTACAAACAAAACCTACATTATCTTTCCAGACCAGTAATTTTATTTATTTGTAAATGGTAATGCTGTTGAGCTTATTCATTTCATGTGATCATTTTTTGAAGAATGGACCAAAAAGAGGCTAAAACCTAGGCTACGGCATGGGATTCATCATAGGAATGTGGTGTAGCACTCTCACTTAGTTCATGATATGAGTCCAGTATGTTTCTTCTTCATGGCCACAGTTAAGAATATGAACACTTTGTGACTTTTCAATCTTGACCTCTGCAGCTGTTCCTGGTGCCTAACCAGCGTTACGAGCTACAGCATGGTGTGAAGCTGTACCTGGCTGATGTCAGCTGTGAATACGTCAGGGAAGAACAGCCCGCTGTCCAGGTAGGTCAGGAGTAACGGCTGGAATCTTAACCTTGTGTGTTTTCCTTGGAATCAACAGGTTAGGTTCAAACCCCTGACATACTCCAACGTTGTACCCTTGGGAAAGGTACTTAACACAGATTTCTTCATTTCATTCAGTTGAAAATGAGTTCCTAGCTCTGTTTCATGATGTTTTTTGGATAGCTCACCCTAGACAAATTACAGAGCAGCAGGTTGAATATTCAATGTACCTTCCACATCACTGCAGGCAACTGTTGATGACTCTGGTTCAGAGACAGGTTCCGAGTCCTTGTTCACTGGACTGTCGGAAGAGCAGCAGCAAGACAACGTTCAGGTAGCTAAGTATATCGATGGTCAATATCTTATTAGCATGCACTCAGAGAAGCGATGGACGTTCTTAACAGCTGATTCACACCTTAAGAAGTGTTCGTGCAACAAGAATGGCAACAACCCGTGAATCCCCTTTGTCAACCCTAAAATATTTGTCCGATCCACAACTTAGATCCCAAATTTATCAATCCATCATTATGAACTGGTTATACAATACTAGTACCTTACCTATGCCAGATATAAACTTTTGATAGTATCCCTGATTGACATGATGAAACCCTTATTCCGACAGCCTGACCTGATTCCTAAGACCCCAGCTGCCCCCACGTCAGATCAGACTCGCCTGTATGTGGAGGAGTCAGGCAGTGAGGGGGATGGCAGGAAGAGTGTCAACACCAGTGACTTCATCGTACAAGACTCCCAACCAACTCCACAACCTGTGAAATCTGGTAAGGGTCAGGTTTTTTTCTCAGTATACGTGTAATTCTATTTTCTATGTGGGTTCGGCAGTATTGTTTTTGGTGTGTGTGGTTGGGTGCGTGCGTGTATTAACTTGAATTGTTCAAAACGTCTCCCATAGGCTTTTTTTCATAGTCATGTATGTGCAAACTATACATTCTGTATATTACATTTATGTTGTCCTTTTTCAATACTTTTCAGCTATTCCCTTAGTATTTGGCAGTCCTGGAAATGAAGAAAGCCCAATCCAAAAGTCACATACATTTGTCGAGGACAGTGAAGAAGGTACGTGTAAGGAAATAAAAACACATTACTGTTGGTCAATAGACCCATTCGACTTTCACAGACCGCATAAACTGCTTACGTCACAGGGGGGACATTTCGAAAGAACGCCGTTCTAGAACGCGGAAATCGAACGCGGCTTGCTTGATATCGATTTTTTTCCAGCTGTTGGTCACATCGACAATCTGAATGAGTAATTCAGATACACCACTTCACATCTTCCACCAATGGAGGGTGGAGGAGTTGAAGGATTACTTAAGGGTAAGGGGCCTAAAGACGTCAGGATACCGCAAACAAGAGCTCGCGGCCTTGGCGTTTGCCGCTACGCAAATGAAGACAGCAATCCAGGAAGATGCCCAGCAGCTCAAACGACAACAGGCCCAAGAGTACGACCAGAAACTGACATTTTCAAACGTTTCAAAACTACCTGATCCATTCTCATTGAAAGGAGGGTGGCTGCAAGAAGAGGAGGGATTGAAGTACTGGCCAGAGGTGTCCTTTCCAGACGTGTGCAACTTTCTAAAATTTCCCGACCTGCGCCGGTACAAGGAGTCTAAAGCCTATCGGTACTTTACCGAAGGGTGGCTGTCCCCTGTTTCCTTCCACCCAATCTCACAAGATAGCCCATTCTGTTATCTGAGAGCAGAATGCAGACCATCGCAGAGGATAAATAACCCTCCACATCAAATATGGGCGTGCGTCGAGACACCAAGCGGCGTAGTACGGACGGCGCATTGTACATGCATGGCAGGGTGAGTGACTGAACATTTGCATGTATAAGGTACATTTGGCATTGGAGTAACACCGTTTTGTTCAATATACGAGTATTTCACACCTTTTTGTCAATGACTTTTTCTTCCTAAGAAATATTCTAATCGCTAGTGACTAAGGAACTAATTCTGCATTTTCAGAATGGGAGAAATGTGCAATCACGTAACAGCTCTTCTCTTCCGGGTCGAGACGGCGGTTCGACTGGGGTATAATAAGCCCTCCTGTACCGAGCTACCATGCAAATGGGCATTACCTTCACAGAGAACTGTGGAGCCACAGAAGGCGAAACAACTGAACTTTTCTAGGAAAACACCCAAAGGCCAACATCAACCGAAAAGGCCTGTTGGATCAGAGGAGAAAGAAAACTTCGTTCAGGGTTCGTGTGCTACAGGAGACATCGATGAACTAACAGACAGACTGAAGGTGATCCTACCAAACGCAGTCATCTTCACTGCGTTAGAAACAAACAAGGACTGTGACCAAGAGGCAAGTGTTGCTACTGAAGAAAAAGATCCCATTTCTGTTTCTGATGTGGCCGCAACATATGATTTTGGCCCATAAACTAGACTTTCTAGATGCACTACATTCCATGTACACCACCAAGGACCCGGAAACCATTGAGTCTAAAACCATAGGACAAAGAAGGAATAGTAAATGGGTGAGCTATAGGAAAGGAATGATCACAGCATCCAATTTCCACGCCGTGTACACGAAAGTAAACACAATTCAGTCATCTAGACATACAGATATCAATACGTCATGTCTACTAAAGAAATTGACTACAGTTGGTGATTTGCAACATGTACCAGCAGTGAAATGGGGGGAGATCCAAGAAGAGACTGCAGTTGACAAGTATATAGAAACAATGGTAACACATCGGAACTTCGAGGTTAGGGAATGTGGACTTTTTGTGTGTCAGAATTTCCCGTATATCGGTGCAAGTCCTGATAGAATTGTCCATTGCGATTGTTGTGGATGGGGGTGCCTGGAGGTAAAATGTCCGTACAAGATCAGGTTTGGTGACCCTAACAAATTGTTTGATCAGACAGATTTCCTAGAAGTAGGAAATGGCAAGAGCATCGCACTTAAGAAGACCCACAAGTATTATACGCAGTGCCAAGGTCAAATGGCCCTAACAGGTTACAAGTACACTGATTTCTTTTCTTGGACGGAACATGGATATATCTGTGAGAGAATAGGGTTTGACCAAGAGTACTGGAAACGTGTACAGTCTAATATAGTATTCTTTTTCGATGAGTATTTGTCTGATGCACTCCTGCAAGGAAGCCGCTAAGTGTAATATGTCGCCTTTCATTAAACTACATCGTTTCACATCTCAATATTCTAACTCAATTTTCTAATATCATATTTGTTACGTTGCAATCCATTACAATGAATACTAGTATATGAATCATATGTTGACATGATTCAATTTGAGTTATTATAAGTCTATTGTAAATCCACGCCCGAAGGCTAATTGCAAGTTACATTGAAAAATTGACTGGACTTGGAATAGTGGGCAAATTTTTAATGACTTTCAAAGATATCACGGTATTCCAAAACAACAAATTGTATCAAAACTAGCCGCGGTCTTAACGAAACTTTCGTAACTAAATGTGGGGTTCGACAAGGTTGTAACCTGAGTTCAACACTGTTTAATTTATACATTAGGCAGTAAATGAGTTTAATGATCATTCTTGTAACCCTCCCCATATTGCATAATGAGATAGTGCCTTGCTTGTTATACGCAGATGACCTAGCTAGTTATACATATTTTCTAAATCTCAACGGGGTCTACAAACATCTTTAAGTAGATTAGAAACAAATTGTAAAACATGGCACTACTGAATGTTAACCTTAGATAGACCAATGAAAGAAATGCAAAAAAAAACCAACATCACCGCAAATTCTACACAGGCTTCCCAACAGTAGCTGCATTCCACGAACTTTTTCAATACCTGGAACCTAGGGCAATATTAATACAACAGCAATGTAGTAGAGATAGTTACAAACTATTGTTACCTTGGTATTGTTGTTAATGCAACCGGTACGTTCAAGGTAAACAAACACTTGTACAACAAAGGTCTGAAAGCACTGTTTGGAGTCAATCAATTTCTAAACAAAGCCAACGCGACAATATCTCTCGTGTCAACTTGAACTTAGTACATCAGGCACTAATGCTGGGCTTCATTTGGTATTTCTCCTTCCATGTACCTGTCCTTGGCACAACACATGGGTAGAAAGCAGAGAGCGGAAACCACTAATCATCTGGCCGTCAAAAGACGTAGTCATAATAGTGATAATGGCACCCTTCCTGCCACCGTCAAGGCGTATCCGAAAGTCCACTGCATTATCGACTGCACGGAGATTCTAAAATGTGTAAAAAATTACACAAGTGGAGGCATAAGATTACATATTGCTGCACAGATTGTGACTAATTCATCAGCATGCGGTATCATTGAAATGGGGAGTTCATTCTTCAGGATTCTGAATGTCTTTACTCTTTGGATTGCTCTCTCCACGTGTATTCGCACGTTGGCAATCCTTTTTGTCCTTTCGACGTCACCTCTTGACATCTGTGATTTCCCCCTGGCCCCAGGAGGTATGGTGAGTGAAGCTTGCCGGAACAACAAATCCTCTTGTATATTGAACCCCCGGTCGGCCATGATGTTATCATGTGGCTCCACTTTTGTCGAGGAATCCAGACTCCAGTGTAATGTGCCTGTCACTTGCCCTGCCTCCCCAGCATTCCGACAAGAACGATACAGCGCCATTCGGTGTGATTCCGATTAAGAACTTTAGTGTGTTATGTTTTTTTGTAGTCCGACCAGGTGACTGCTTGGCTATCCAGATTTTTCGGAGTTTCAATGAAAATCTCCGTGCAGTCAATAATGCAGCGGACGTTCGGATACGCCTTGAAAGGGGCAGGAAGGTTGGCCCTTACTACGTCTTTTGACGGCCAGATGATGAGTGGTTTCAGTTCTCTGCTGAGAAATGGTACCCATGTGTTGTACAGGTTACTGCACACGGAAGGAGAGATACCAAACCTGTCGGCCACGTCTTCATTTAGGAGTCCCAGCCTGTTCCGCATAAGGACCATTAGTAGTTCGTCCTTTAACTTCCTGGATGTGGCAATATTCCTCTTTTTTGCGCTTTGCCGCTTGGCCCCTCTCCATACACGCAGTTTTCTTGCCCTAGGTTCCAGGTATTGAAAAAGTTCGTGGAATGCAGCTACTGTTGGGAGACCTGTGTAGAATTTCATCTTTCTGTCTGTTTGTATGGAATTTGCGGTGATGTTGGGTTTTTTTTGCATTTCTTTCAGCTTTTTCTGCAGCGTTTCACACTTTCTTTGCAATGCCATTATACTCTTTGACATAGATGATATAACATTCTTTTTATCTCGGCAACTTAGACACTCACTACATCGAGTGGGGCGCGCGTACGAGTGGACATGGCTATACGAGTACGTCAATTTACGTCGTTTCTTGTTCGGTGTCAGTCGATCGCGAGGCGAGGTGCTTTGTTGTGCATGTGGCGTTCCACGCGTTGGTGTTGTCGGTGTTTTTAGTCCGTTTTTCGTTCCACGCGTTGGTGTTGTCGGTGTTTTTAGTCCGTTTTTCGTTCCACGCGTTGGTGTTGTCGGTGTTTTTAGTCCGTTTTTCGTTCCACGGGTTGGTGTTTTTGGTGTTGTTGCTCCACGTTCTTCAAGATTTAGCTCGGGGTCCGGGTGAGTGGCAGTTGGCTTCCCATCAACAAAGTGAGTGGAACATATGAAATAACTGCACTTTGGGTGCCATTTCAAAGACTGGCGATTCAGATCAAGGATCCTCCACCATCTGTTTCTTCGTTTATCTTTTTCTTCGTTCCCATAAGGGAATCTGTGTAAGGTGAACGGTGGTTGACAACTACAGTGTTCCTGAAGGTTGCCAGGATGTTCTTGGCATGGTGTCTTTCTCCAGAGTCGTAACTGTCTTGTGTTGTTTTTACAAGCTCGAACGCAACAGGATCCCGAAACCATGCTGTACGTACGGATAGGGGGAAGGTGCAGTGAGATAGGGGCGCAGATACATGGCTTTGAAGTTAATCAATATCTTATATACTTAACTGTGACAAAGAGGTAGTTGAGTAACAAAGGAAAGTGTAGTATATGGTCGATTTCCAGCATCGATACCGGCAATCATTTACGCGACGCCGGGCGGCCCAAATAGCGCCTTGAGATCAGGTGTCAACACAAATCACCTTAACTGGTTGTACGGAATGCCACCATATAAAGTTGGTGCCTGTTCTTCTGTCATTTCCGCGTATATTATCGAGAAAATAGACACTTACCTACCTTTTGTGACTGATCTACCAGGGGAGACACCGCAAGCCGCGTTCTAGAACGCCGTTCTATTCGAATTGTCCCCCCTGTGACGTAAGCAGTTTATGCGATCCGCGTGCAAGATTCTTTCGAATTGTCCCCCCTGTGACGTAAGCAGTCAATGCGATCCGTGAAAGTCGAATGGGTCTATTGTAAATTGTCTCAGAATAAATGTGGTCTGAAAATACATTTATGTCCACATCATCATCATAGGCCTCCTTCTTTCTTGATAATGCACATGATATTGGTACACCAAGAAAAAAATTGAATATCGTAGTATGACAAGCCATATTCAAAATGTCTTCAAATCATGTCTGTTAATAAAAACAGAAGCAAGTTTTAGAATGAAGCTTGGTGACTGATGTCAGTTGGTACAGTGTAACAATACCTGTGCAGCAATGCCACCAAGTGGTTCAAGTTAAGATTGCATGATCTTCACAAACATTCTAGATGCACCTGATGTCTTTGATAGCATTCTCAAATGACTCCACGTGTCTTCATTCCTTTGATACATGTAGTTCCTTTTCTCATCCACAGATGATGATGACAAGCCACTTCTTGACGACTCAGATATTGCCAATGCAGCCACGCAAGCGTACGCCCTCAACAGCTCAGTGGAGGAGGACGAGGATTCTCTCCCTGATATCGCCATGGAGCCAACCCAAGCCTATGTCTTAAACAGCTCCCATGAGGAGGACAACTTTGCTGACTGTCCAACACAAGCGTATGGCCTGGACAGCGACACAGACATCGGTAAATCATTTTTGCTTCCTATTTTAGACAGTTACATAGTACATTTGTCAGTTACACAGTTACCTTCAAAAAGAAATGACAGCTGAATTTTATGTATTTGCTCATCTCTTCTACATGTGTGTTTTGTGTCTTCTTTGTGTCTTCAGGCTGTAAATATGACTCAGACACAAAAATGGTAAAATGAATCTTTAGTCCATGTATTTTTGTAGCCATCTTCTTTAATGTTTTCCCTGGTTACTTTCATCAGAGGATGCTGATGGTGGAGTGTCTGCTGCTACCCAGCCAGTGGAAGGACAAATATCTGAAAGAACTGCAAATAAAGGTATGTATTTCTTGTTATAGTTAGCAGGGAGAATGCCTGTCATGTCAACTACAGTTTGAGTTGATCTGCCTCCAGTTTGTTTCCTGACTTTCTGTCTTATCATCCTTGTCTTTGTAGACAGGGAAGCCACACAGGTGTGCAGTGAGGAAGATGTACCCACAGATGAACCCACACAGGTGAGAATCACATTGTGTTTGGAAATCAGTTGCCTCACAATGATTTGTTTTCTTATTGATGTGTAAAAGAAAGAAGAATGAGTAACACATTTTTAATGTAAGATAACAAAGCAAATAACAGTGGCAAATTCCATCATTACTTGGCATTAATTTTAAAAATTATGTTTTGTGTTATGTCATTTGTGGCCCAACTATTTGTACATATTTGTTCTTTCATCTGCAATCTTTCTTTTCTAGCCATTACAAGACTCCTTTGACAGGAACGAACCAACTCAAACTGTGGGGGACACATTGCCATTCACCACTGCTGACCAGGAGGAACCTCCTCCCACCCTACCTGTCCACCCCCATGAAGAAATGGAAGGTACCCTGCCTGTTGCAGCACTAGGGAAGATAGATGAACAGCCAACTTTGATGATTCACAGTGAAGAAGCTACCCAAAGGTCCGAGGGAAATGACAGAACAAACAAGTCTGAGATAAACAAGAATGGAACAGGCAGCTCTCAAGGATTTGTGACATCAGAAAACAACAGCAAACCAAAGGCATACCCATATGACACAGATTCAGAGACTGAAAAATATAAGAATGTTTTTGAAGAAGCCACCCAAGCGTATGCTCTGGAAGAAGAGGATATAGAGGAAGAGATGACACAGTCAGAAGGAATGGAAGAACAGATGGATGATGCAGAAGAGGCAACCCAAGCATTCAGAAGCGAGGAAGAGACACTAGAACCAGAGACACAGTCTTTTGGGGAAGGAGAAGAAAAGGGACATGCTGGAACTCCAGAAGAGGCAACCCAAGGTAGCAACAGTCATGAGGAGGACACAGTAGAAGAGACACAGACTTTCGGTGATCCAGACAGCCAACAGGGAAAAGATTCAAACATGGCTGAAGCAGAGACTCAAGCCTATGGAGATGAAGAAGACACTGAAACCAAAGTTGTCAGCAGTACTGAGGTTGATGATGACTTTGCCAACATGGAGACACAGGCATATGGAGGGGAGGAGGAGGAGGAGATAGATGACTTAGCCAATGCTGCAACTCAGGTTTGTTATTTAACACTCTCTCAATCAGTCTGCATTTGGTAACCTACATAGCATTTTATTTACTCCACCTCTGTTCTCCTGGTATGGAAAGAGAACCTAGTCAGGCACAGCCATATTAGAGCTTTACCTTCATCACATGTTGTTTGCAGGCCTATGGATTGTTCAATCAAGAGGCTGAAACACCAGAACCAGAGGCAGATGAGCTGGCAACAGCTGAAACCTTGGCATATGGTGAGGAGGACATGGAGGCAACGCAGGCGTACGGTGTGGAGTCTGTGGACTCAGAACCAGAACCAACACAGGGAGACAAGACAGAAGGAGAGTCCCAAGACATTCCTGATTCACCGACCATGGCTTACGATGACCAGCTGGGTGAGACCCAGGCTTATGGAGTTGAAGCAGAGGACGAGGATGTTCATGAGGAAGAAGAAGTATGCTTTATGTTTTCATAACAATCAACCATCCCCCCATCCCTCCACTGCCTAACACTGTAGCCTATAGAAATTTGGTGCCAAAAGACCATGGTTAACATACCTTCTAAGAGCAGTTGGACTGCCGCCATAGATTAAAATATTTGTAAGCATTATGTTACATGTATTTGAAAGTTTTGAATGTGACATTGTGATACATCAAAAACCATTTTTTTCATGCCCCTTGTCTCTCCACTCCCAGGAATTATGTCAGAAGTACAATATGATAACTGTATGTGTGTGCTGGTGTATCCAGGTTGTTCCTGAAACACAGGAGGATGACGGAGATGTGGCCACACCCATCCCCCTCCCACCGCTGAAGTCGGCCCTACACAGTCCTGACAGACCCAGGAGGCAGGCCCACTCAGTCGGCTTTACCGACAAGCTACAGGCTGATGAGCCGGCTGCAGGTCCTGAGGACCACCTGATACACACTCAGGCTTATGGAGCAGCTGAGGAGGAAGATACTGATGCAGCTGTCAAGGTTACTGAGGTATCACCAAGAAGGGTTCCAATGTGTCCTTGACTGTCCTTCAATTTGTAAAATGTTCTTATTCTGTACACAAAGTAAAGTGCTTACCAGCAAGCTTTTTTCTCAAAAGAGAAAATAAATGCATTTCCAGTTTTGGCAGTCCCATAACTGTGGTGTCCCACAAGTCTACGACACTTGAGCCAGCTCAGTTTCCAATGAGGTTCAATATGAGGTCCTGGAAGTATGTGGAGTTTATTGCTTTTCTATAGGTCACCAGTGATGGGACAGAAGTACAGGAGTCTGAGCAGGATGTGGAGCCAGCTGCTGCTTCTGAATCTGATGATGAACTGATGGAAACTCAAGCTTACGGACTTGATGAAGGAGAAGAGAATGGTGCAGTCATCCAGACCCCTGAGGTAGGACAATGTTGACTGAGTGTTCGCACATGTCTCACAACATCCAATTGCCCTGGCCTGCAAATTTGTAAGCTGGAATCCAGCAGGCATACTCTTGTTAAAGCTGACTGATTTTTTTTCCAGGTACAAATGTATCATGGTAATTCGATGAAGGTTAGACATCCAGGTAATACGATATGCCAAAAAACAGTTACTCAAGCAACTGTCAAAATCATATCCAGTTGCTTGAGTAACTGTTTTTTGGCATATCATGGTAATTCATTATAATCTACATTGTTGGTTACACTAGTTCAAAGATTAGGAGTTCCTTAGTGTGTTTGAATTTCCTCGTCCCAAACATGTGTTTTAGATAGAGCAGTAGTTTATAATGGACCCATCCTTTTTGCTATCTAATACAGTCAGTTATATGCCTTCTTCAAATTCTAGGGAGCTGAAAGAAAGGAGACAATTCCCTCTGAGAGTCCAGCTTCAGGAGGGAGAGCTCTAAAAGAAACCAAAGGTCAAGAAATAGAGGTGTCTATAGAACCAGGTAAAAAGATTCACTGTACTGTAAAACGATTCACTGTACTTATTATATAATGCCATTTTCACTGAATTCTAACAATATATTTCCAGATATTTAAGTACTAGTAACATGAAATTATTTGTTTTTTTTTTTGTTTGTTTTTTTTTGCCTATCAGGAAGCAACAAAGTAAGACAGAAGCAAAGGGGTAAAAATGCATCAGAGGAGAAAACCTTTGCAGAAGTTGAAGAGGCTCTCACCAGGAGGAGTGCCAGAGGTCACAAACAAGATGAATCTGCAGACACCAATGGTGCAGCTGTGGGTGTTTCAGATGACTTGGCTGCAGAAAAACCAGTGAGGTTGGGCCGTGGGAGGAGATCAGCACCGCCTGCAAAAGAAGCAGCAGAGGACAAACCTCAACGTCAGTCTAACAGGAGAGCCAGTAGGTTCCAGAGGAAGGGTGATGAGGAAAATGAGGAGGATGTCCAGGCTGGCAGCAGCAACAACATCAAGAAACCCAGGTCCAGAGGGAGGAAGTCTGAACCAGCTCCAAGCACAAGTAAATCTGATCACCAGGAAGAAGCTGTTGATACTGTTGATGCAACAGGTGAAAACGTAGACGAGGACACAGACAGTAGAGCCCCAGAAGGACCAACAGCTGGAAGAACAACCAGGAAAGGGCGGGGAAGGAAATCTGAGCCAGCACCTGCTAGCAGTGCTGTGGAATCTACCAGTAACACAGGTAGGGGGAGGGGCAGGAGAAGGAAAGACAATGACACAGAGAGTGTTGCATCAGACATTACAGATGACTTAGAGGAGACAAGACCTTCCAGAAGATCAGTGAGAGGGAAGAAGAAAGTAGACGATGAGGTTGAGCAGGTAAAAAAACAGGAAAGTAGAAGGAGAACAAGAGGAAGAGCAGCTAAGGATAATGATGAAACAGAAGAGGTGGCTCTGGAAGATGAACAGACAGAGGTTAACAGTTCTGAAAATATCAACAGCACTGCAGCAAAGGGTGAAGAGACAATAGAAATGAGTGCTCCAGATCAGTTACCAGCAACCAGACGGGGTAGGGGTAGAAAGAGTGTGGCAGCGACTACAAGAAGAGGTAAAGGAAGTGCTGTTGAGGAAAGTGACAAAGACAAAGGTGAAGAATCTCACGTTGAAGGTGTTGAAAATGCAGTGCCAAAGATCGTTGTCAGTGAAGAAGCCCCTGGACCAAGTGGCCGTCAGACCAGGAAAAGGAAAGGAGCAGCTGCTGAAGACAAGGAACCACCTGCTGCTGAGGACCAGGAAGCTGAAGAGGCTGGTGGGAACAACAAGATCAGAGCAAAGAGAGGGCGACAAGCTTCCAAGGAAGAAGCCAAGGAAACAGTAGAAGAAATCAGTCAGCCAAGGGGAAGAGGAAGGAAGAAGGCTAGAAGTGGACAAATGAATGAAGGCGGGGAAGAAGATGCAGAGAATGCTGATCTACAGGTACGTCTGTGATCTCTCAAGTTAAACCTATGGTCATAATTAAGTAAACCGTATACTGTAGATGTCTATCATTAGGTCAAGAGAAAGTGCATCCAAAACTTGGATATCTGTATGATGACTATAATTTAGCTTTCTTTGCTGCCTTTCAACAGGAAACAACCACCAGCCGCAGACGAGGTAGGAGTGGTCAGAAATCAGCAGAGAATGCAGGTTCACAAGTCTCAGCCAAAATGACTCCACCTGAAGCACCTGAAGGTTGGTACATTTACTAAATGTACAGGAACATGTACTTGTAATTTTGCTTTCATATAAAAAGACTGTAGATTATCTGACTTGCACTGTGAATAGAATTTAATGTAATGATTGCACTATTCCAATTGTTCCCTGGCAGTTTTAAGCAGTCCCAGTCAAAGGACGAGAAGGGCCATCTCTGGGGACAGCAAACCTAAGATCATGTTTACTGGAGTGGTGGACAGGCAGGGAGAAAAGGTTAGTACTGTCCATGGAGCCTCCTTACTGTGATGATGGGTGTGTCTACACACTTCACATGTTTTGCAAGTCTCTGTTGTTGTCTTTTGTGTCCTAGCGTTGATAGATAGGTAAATCTTACCGTCTGAGTGGATTTATGACTAGTGCAGGGGAATGATAATGTCAGGAACAAAAGCAAGTGATTAAGCAACAAAAGAATTTCTAATGAATTGTTTGAAGAGGTGAATGTTGTCGTCTGATAGCAAATTTGATGGATGATGTATGGATTATTTCAAACAAGATTAAAATATGAAAATTCATTAGGATTTGATTCCCAAAGTGTCAATGTTGGTTTATAGGCTTATTTTGGTAAATTCGCTAATATTGCAATTATCCGCACAGGTGTTACATTGTATTATTTTGTCATATTTGATTACTCAGATATTGTTTTACATGATATATCAATTATGTGTGTTGTTTTGTGTCCTGAGTAGATAGTGAAGGACTTGGGAGGTGATCTGGTAGACTCTGTCACCACCTGCACACATCTGGTCACAGACAAGGTAATTCTTCATTCCAAGCCATGAGTTAGTCGCCAGTAATTGCAAAGTATTACTTTATGTTCAACATGTCTGATTTTTCATGTAGGTGCGTGTACTTAATGCGGAACATGTACATGTACTAGTATGTTAAGGAAGAGTTGCTGAATGCCCCTTCATTCCCCAGGTGAGAAGAACAGTGAAATTCCTGTGTCTGCTGGCCCGAGGTCAGCTGATTGTCAGCACAGACTGGCTGGACAGGTGCAGGGACTGTAGGACCTTCCTGGGTAAGGTCACGTCTACAGATGTTTTTTGTAACAAAAGAAGATATGCGGGGGGAAGATAAAAAGCCGTTATGGCCTGTCCGGAATCTTCCCCCGGCAACATTAATTTATAGATGTATCATCTACAGCAGCCAAATTCTCTCTCAAGAACAAAAGCTCCTAGAACACCTAACAAGCTGTAACATTTAGCTGTTTGATTCTACATTCAAAGTACTTTGCACAGAGTTGGTATATACTACATTACTAGTGCAATGGCTGCTTGCTTCTGCTATTATATAATAATGTTTTGTCACATATACATGCATACTCTTTAGGTCTGCCAAGGTACATGTACTGTATCATCCTTCATTATTTCAGATGCAGCTCCCTTCATGATAAAAGACCCAGCTACAGAGAAACAGTACAACTTCTGCCTGGCCACGTCCCATGAGAAGGCCCATGAGGCTCCCATGTTGGAGGGGTACAGGCTACATGTCACTGCTGGGGTGAGACCTGACCCCACTCAGATGAAAGGTAAGGCTGCAATATCTGGTAAATTAATAGAGGCAGCATTTAGACTAATCACATGTTATATAATGTTCTTCATTTTGTGATCATATTTTCTTATTATTTGCTATTAGCCCTTCGGGCAAGAATTTGTATAAAATGTTATTAACATCAGATAGGGGAAGATTTGTATGAAAAATTCTAGACACAATTCATCACTGCCAAAAGCACATTAGATGGTATTAATAAAATCCCAGATAGTGAGTGGGCAATACTAATTGAATTTCATCTTGCTGCCTAGTCCTATAACCAGTACCAATTTGGCAGGGAGAAGCAGGGAGAAGGTTTAGAACTTGTGTTGCACCTACTTGAAGTCCAAACAGGATCAGGATTCACTTACATGTGAATTACAGAAATAGGAATTGTCGGTCTTCCCATTTGATGTCTTTACAAATGTCAAACATTCTCTGTCTCTTGTTTCAGATATCATCAACTGTGCTGGAGGAGAGGTACATGACTGCTTTTCTTGAAAGTGTTGGCTTTTGATCTAGCAGAAATTGTGTTGCCAGTTTAAAGCACAGTACAGTACTAGTAATGGTCTGTGTATCTTACAGCAATTATTTTGTTTGAAGCTTTTGTGTCTTTCCACAGAGTTTTTTGCTTCATATCCTGTATTGTATCGATTTCATGTTCTCCTGTTTTGTCTGTAGTTCCTGAAGACGATGCCCAGCACCTGTAGAGACGGGACTGTTGTGGTGTCATGTGAGGCAGACAGGAAGCAGTGTGAGCCGGCCCTGAAGGCAGGAGTTCCTGTTGTCACTGCAGAGTTCCTCCTGACGGGGATCCTACGACAGGAAGTCGACATCCAGGCATATCCTTTCTGCAAAAAACTCAAATAATGTAGCATCTTGGAACTCCTTTACTCGGCTAATGTATGCTGTTATCTTTTGTAGTACCGGTATGTCTCCTGTTGCTTTACCTTACGTGTACTTTATATGGCACTGTACAAGCAATTAGCCTTCAGATATGATTTTGCAAATAAAGATATTTATTTAATTATCTGCTGCTGCCCTTCATCTCTCAGCATTGAAGATAAACAGCTCTGGAAGCTTAACTTTGCTATAGCTCTTTAGAGGAGGACGATGATGATGTCTTGCCAATCTCTGATGTGCTTTAAATTTTGCTTGCTTTGGGTTTGCTTATTGTTTTATTTGGAGTTACATTGAAAGTTGATACAATGTTTGCAGATATAACTCTTTAACCAGATGCACTCACAGACTGTTTGCAGACTTTGGCAAAAGTTCCAACAAGAGAAAGAGTGCTGCACCGGCTGCTGACACAGGCAAGAGATCCAGGCGTCGATAGGTCATGTCCAGACCTAGTATTTACTTAGTACTCCATTTACTTACACTTTGCCATGTGGTAATTTACTACATCTTTCTTCAGACAGTCTCATTGTTTGGTACAAAGGGACACAGAGTAATGGAAAGATGACAACAGTCTACTTGACAGAAAATCTATCAGATAAGTTATATTTGTAGTTGTATTGCCTTGTTCAGTGTACGCCTAAGGTTTGCATGCTACAAACTAATCCGTGAAGATGTCTACATTTTTAAATATATGAGCCAGCATTCCATAGAAGATAGACATTCTACATTCCACTTTACTCAGTCTTTACTTATTTTAAGAACTTCTAATGAACCTTTTGGTTTGAGTGAGTTTGGTTTGAGTTTTTGCAATGACATAAGTTACAAGAGGCCAGAGCTGGCTAGTATGATACACACATGTATAGTGTGACATGTATACTGTACTTGTAACAGTCAAAAATAGCACATATTTTTAATCACATAACAAACATCACAATTCTTTAGTGAGCTAAAACTCTTTGTGTTAGATCAATGCTTGAGCTCTGTACTATGTTACATGTACACATGTACTACTTACATGTACAAAATGTATTCATAACATGTAGCATCAGTGAAATATCTGTAGAATAGCATTCTTATTTTTTTTTTCAATTTCGTGACTTTCTTTCAATATAATCTTTTCACAAACATATATAAGATCTTGGGTATTTGTGGAAATCCTTTCAGGAAAGTCCTAATTTTACTGCACTTAACAAGAACAGGGAAGCAAGACAAATGAACTTTAGGTGACAGTGAAAATTTACATTATGTGTTAAGAGATGCACTCATAACTTCACTACAGCATTTACACCAACACCAAAGAGAGTACATCCATCTAAAGTCTAATTATGCTTAGCTGTTACATGTACCGATTTTAAAGTACTATATATGCTGAAAGAACATCCGATTATGCTATATATAGACATTCAGTAGTAATAGTAGTAGATATAACTTACATAGTATGCTCTATACGTGAGTTATGCTATTTCTTGCTAATTGGTCCTGTGTCACAATCCTTGAAGAATTCCTGCGACTCATATTCACGTAGACCGTGGGCGTCAGGCTGTTATTCCTGTCGCGCTGCTCGCTCCTGTTGTGGGACGTGGTGCGGGTGCAGGCCGCCGACTTGGTGGAGTCCAGCTTCCTGGCGTACTCCTCCGGCTCCAGGCAGGCCTGGTACCAGTTCACCAGGAACGACTTCCCCGGCTTCCGCGTCACCACGCTCTTCCCGTACACCACGGGGTTCACGCAGGCGTTGGACACGCCGAACAGGTACAGCACGTCGAAGACGATGGGGTTGATGGGGTACTGGTGCTTGTAGAACAGGTGCCACATCATGGCGCAGTAGTACGGCGTCCAGCAGACGAAGAAGGTGGTCAGGATGCCGGCGGCCATCTGCAGGGTCCGCACCTTGGCTTTGGAGAAGAGACGCTCCCGCTGTCCGGTCTTATTTCCAGTCTCCAGGTTGTCTTAAAGAGACAAGGAGTAGAACATGACCGTACATATGTAGTGTGTCCAACCTAGATGCAAATATGCAGTTTTAAGTGCAAATAGAGATATTTTAAAAAGCTGCTCAGGAAATCGTAACATTTGCCTTCTGCCATGTAGCGTGGTATCCGTTTCAGGTTCACTCCTTTGATCGCTAGCCTGGAATCCATCCCTGAACGCTGTGTCTCCGCTCCGTTTCTTCACCGAATGCAGAGCGGAGGAATGAAGCGGAGACAGCGTTCACGGATGGAGTCTAGGCTATTTGATCGCTTCCTTGCACAAGATATAGCAGAGGAACAAGCTGGAGCTAGAGAAGGATCGTTACTAGGCTATGTGCCCAACAACACGTCATTGCCGCCTCTCAACATCTGCCTGGAGGTCTGCCCTTACCTGTTCCTCTCCAGTGCCTGAAGAGGCTGACGAAGATGCAGACGTAGCAGGCGACCATGATGACCATGGGGGCGGGGTACATGACCACGAACACCAGCATGTTGTACAGGCGGTCCTGCCAGTCGGCGGAGTAGAAGTTGTACGTCACGCACTGCTGGAACCACGGCGCGTGCTTGTGCGTCTCCACGTGGAAAATCACGGCCTGGTTGAGCATAGGGAGAAACAGAAAGGTAGGTGTGATCTTCTGAAATATTATGATTCGTCTGTGCATCATTTCACATGTGTGTGTGTCCATGCAACGGATAGTGGACTGGATCAACTAGGTTGTGCCACAATATTGACAGTCATGCACTATGTGGTCAGTGTACTAGTATTTCCTAACATCTTGGCGTTTACGCCGTATTGAGGTCACCGTGCCATGATAACCTACCAGACTGTTGAGATACGCACCTGCGGTATGCAGAAGATGATGCTGAGTGTCCAGGACACGATGACCATGCTCCGTGCCCGCTCGGGAGCCTGCCCCTTCTTGAGTGGGAACGCGATGGCGACACAGCGGTCCAGACTGATGCACACGGTGATGTAGGTGGACAGATACAGCCCCAGCATCTGTGTGGTCAACATGGATCTTATTAGCCCGGTTAAGAAACCTATGTTAGCTCCCGAGTGTCTTGTCCTCTCGACAAAATTATTTGTGGAGAGGACAAAAGAGACTCGCCAGCTAAATAGTCTTGGTAACCGGGCTAAGATCCTATTAGGATGCTGTGGTACCAATGTGAGATGTTATTTAAAGTTCAGTGAGTTGCATGGAAGTGATGTATACGGGAAATAGTAAATGTGAAGAAAATGGCCATACGATTTCAAAACGTTTTGCGACAGCTGATACAATAGAAGCGTGCCTTTTTAGTCCTCAGTTTTGGATTTCTGTAATCGTTGCGACAGTTTGTGCCCTAATAATAAGACCTTACTAAGACAGAGTCATTCCCTTGCAGGATGTCTCACCTGGCCATACTTGATGATCCTGCACATGGTGTCTCCCGCCCACCACGACACGGTGTAGGCCCAGATGGCCTCGGACGGCATGGTGATGCACGTCACCAGCAGCTCCCCCACCGCCAGGTGCAGTAACAGCATGTAGATCCCCGACCGCCGCCGCAGCCGTAACGTGGCGCGGGCCTGCAGATGGGTTGAAGGCATCCATTGTATGAACAACTATGTAAGAGGTGCTAGTGTCACGGAAATGAAAAAAAACCTACAGTGGACCTCACTTGAAGACAGAAGAAAGATGTCTAGACTATGCATGATGTACAAAATGACTAATAAACTGGTGGATGTCCCAACTACTAAGTACCTAATACCAGCACAGAAGAGAACAAGAAATAGCCACGCATTCAAGTACCAGAGTTATCAACCAAGGATTGAGGTGTTCAAGAATTCATTCTTTCCTAGAACTATCGCAGAGTGGAACTCACTGTCACCAAGTACAGTAGGGGCATTGTCAATAGATAGCTTTAAACAATGTCTAGAGCTAGAAGTTCAAGGGTTAGGTGTAACAAGTCGATCGGTGTAATATAGCCAGCTGCCGCCGCGCCGCGTGCCTGCGAAGCTGGTGTGTTACGCCGAAAGGCGGTTATACCGGCTATACAGATACAGATACAGAATGCAAAACTGGACAATATTCTGAATCAGGCAACCTGTGCGATATTGACACATACTGTCCCACATCAGCACATGTGAATTGGTATTTCATACTTCCGTCATTTAAAACTGCAGAAACAAGCCCCCAAATTAGTTCTTTATTTCCTGTGTGGTACCCTAGAAATCAACCCAGGACCTCCCAGTGACCATTTTTCGTCAAAAATACATTAAGATAGTATTTTTTCAACTTAGTATGTATATATTTAAGTGACTACAATATTGACTTTGAAAAACCTGGTTTCCGAGCCCTGAAAATTGCACTGGATGCCTTTAAAACGTGCGGAATAAAACAAAAAGCTTTGATGTGTGGAATAGTTGTGACAGCTAACAACAATTTAGTTGCACCTAACTTTACCGAAAATTGTGAAGTTTTGTTCAGGGACTTGGCCTATTGGGTAGCCCGTAGTCTTGGGTGAACGTCGACTAGGCGCTAATGTCTCTCTGAACGGCACAGACTTGTCTGAAGTTTGGGGAAGCTGATATTGGGTGTGGATTACCTGCTGACAAGGTCCTTCTGATCTTATTTCAGATGAAAGAAAATGTTATTGACTTCAAGTAGAGCACTAGCTTCAAACTAGCTTCATTAAGGCAAATGTCATTAGGGGAAGGCAGATTGGGAACAAAGACTATGCTTTGAATTATTCTGTGGTCTGGGTCTCCACGATACATTAAATGTACTATCATTGTCAGTAGATGTTTTCATAGTTCATTTACGTTTAGATATATGCACAGTTGAAAATGGGAAAAAATGAGCAGATCTCTGTAGAATGTACAGGTCCCTATTCTCAGTACAACAGTAAGCATTTAGCTGGACAATCCCAGACTATATGCGCTACTGTGTTACTGACCTCCATTCTTGCCAAATGGAGCTAGCTGCAGGAAATGCAGCTGCAGTTCAACCTTCATGTACCGCCATTGATTGTTTTATCTGGTTGGCACACGTTGTCAAAGCGCGGTGCTCTTTATCAGCTCCCATCTGCTCATAACCGAAGGCAGTGTTTTATATGCTGACCTCCCCCCGAGTTCACTTGAAGACAATCCAATCCATATCCGCACGAAGCCTGTAATCCATGTACTGAATGATAAAGTAAACTATAACATACAGATCTAGTACACTAAGCTTCCGATGTCATTACCTGACAGCGCATGATCACAGTAATGAACTTTCTCCTTGGTGCTGAAACGTGGTTTGCTGTACAATAAGAAGTTGATCCCTGCGAAGCCATTAGTTCGCGCTGGGCTTATGAGAAGCGGGCGTCTCCAAAGTAGTCATTATCTGTACCATCTCTTTTTTCCCGGTGAAGATGATTACTGAGAAGTTTTAGAAAGGTTGCTTCAAATGAGCCCGCGGACCGGGTATTATCTGAGTGCCTGATTAGAGCACACAGTCGTTGCAAAATCGATTCCTACTAAGTCCTTTATAAGAGATACCAATCTGACTTTCCTGGTTAAACCGTGTTTATTTGCAATTATTTTGGGTCAATCCTTTCAGCAATGATTCCGCTAATGAACAACCCGTTGTATTTAAGTAAATTGGGTTGCAATCTTCAAGACGTTTGACCAGCTTGGCGTATTATACAGCTGTCGTTCTCTTCTGTCTTGAAATAGGATCACTACTAGTTATTAATTATAGTAAATTGTCGCCCAATTGAAATCCATCAATACCTAATTGTAAGCATTAGAAGAAGTCAGACGCATCTTGGCAAGACCCCAACAGTCTATGTGCTTTGAATGACTTGACGAAGTTTTGCCGAGATTGTTGATCATCAGCAAAGTAGACAACATTTATTTACTTTCCAGGTATCTATGGAGACAGTCAGCAAACAGCAAAAGTTGTAAGTTGGTATGATTTCATGTTGCGATTTTATAGCAGGACTGGGGATTTAGACTACTGTCACCCTAACGTTATATATGAATGTGTTGAGTAAGAATTAACAGAGCAGACCATATGCGAAGGTAAACATTAGGCATTTGCTTTGTAAATGCTACCTTTCTAGTTTTCTATAAGCTCAATCATGATGACGCAGCAACAGAAGAACGGTAACGCACCATGAACAGGTTTCCTATGGCGGCGATGACGAACAGGATACAGATGATGACGATCTTGGTCAGGGTCCAACTCGTGAAGACGGGGAGGTCCAAGGCGACGTTTCTTGTCGTCTCGTTGAGACTCCCGTTGACAAAGTCTCGAGAACTTTCGTTGAGAAAGTCTTGCAGAAAGATGTCCTTGTGAGAACACGCGGTGTCGTTGTCGGTTCGTGGTGATTTTGAAGGTGACATTGTTGGGCTGCGAGTATTACATGAAATGGAGGTCCAATCGTCTCACTCGTTTTTACCTCAGGCCACAGCAAGTTGATTTTATGGATGACATCCACCACAGACTCCAAATCTAATGCGATAGGGCGAAAAAAACAAGGCGGACAAAAAAAACAAGATTCCTACATTTTCAAATTTTGACGTCATAGACTTTGTTCAACAAGAAATGATACCTATATTGTGCCATGTTTACTGCCAGATGTCACAACATCCATTGTCACTGAAAAATAAAAGTTTTCAATCATTGTACAAATGGTTTTGATTCAGCGGGGACATCACATATAAAAGGAATGAAATACATCACTGCATCAAAGCAAAAGACAAATAAATCAGAGCCTTGTCTTGTCTTGTCTCCTCTCTTCATATTTATCTGCCGTCCACGTTCGGGCATAGCAACAGTCATCACATATTTTCGGCACGTTGACCACTGTCAGAGGGTAACAAAATTTCTTTTTTTTTTCGAAAATCAAAGCGGGCGCTAATGTTATCCATAAAAATTACTTGCTGTGGCCTTAGTAAGGAAACTGGTATGGAAGGTTAAAACTGAAATTCACCGTAATGTTTTCAATCCAAGTAACGCTGTCTTGCTGTCGTTGAGACGTATTGACGATATTTTGGTTTCTTTCCTAATAAATATCGAATCACCTGGTACATTTCTTTCCTTAAGAATGGGTGGAAAGCATATGAACATCGTATCAAGTACACGAAAAACAAGACAGAAAGTAGTTTAGTACACAAGTGTCGGCACAACGAAGGCCACCAGCTGTACACCTACCTCTCAGTCTTGCGCCAATGCACTCCACCGTGTACTTTCCAAGTTCTGGTAGCCCGCACCGTTAACGTTCAGCAGCCCGCCGGCAGTTTTTCCCAGGCGTTCCTCCCGGAGTTCGGCAGCCTGCACCAAACATGGGAGGAAACATTTACAGAATACCGAGAGGCAAGAATTCTAGAAACAAAAGTAGTTTCACGAGTGGCTTGCAGATGTTGGAATGTGTATACGTTCTCCAATCCGCTCCTTTGAGTCTCCGCGTAATGCCTCTTCAATCATGTAACACAGCAGCAGAACCAACCACGCATCATCAACCACCCACGCGTACACCAGCGCCCTGTCCAATCAGACAGCCGCTCTTATCACCGAGTACAAAATCCCTCAGAGACTCAGAGCGCTTTGCTCAAAGCAGCGCACGTACAGGTAATTGCAATTATATGTATTCAAATCCTATTGAGTCAGTAGCGCCAGGGGCGGATGAAATCCTCGGTAAATTTGAAGTCCCTGGAGGGGTGCGTAACTTTAGAACATCAGTCCATAGCCTTAAAGGCTTTGTCGCTGCATAAGTGCGTCTAACTCGTTTTGTCAAAACTGGAATCATCGCGGTCCTCGCTACTTCTGCCACAGGAACAGGCAACGTTCGATCATACTTAAGAACGAAGCAGATCAAAGGTATGGCTTTTCTCCAAGAAGCGATTTAGACCGTGGGTGCTTTGAGTGGGAGTTATGCAAGAGCGTTCCTCCGAGGGACAGTCATTTAGTCTGCAAAGGGTTCAGGTCGTCCTAACGTCCCACGCGTTAGAGACAGGAAATAAAACAGAACGCGTATGATTGGCGTAGAGGTCATATAAAAACTTTTCTATTTGGGACAAAATGTAAATAACATTTCTGATACTTTGGACGTATTCAAACATAACTCTAACTGTCTTTCCAATGTCATGATTATGCCAGTATTACCCAAATCTTGGAAAAGAAGTACATGTATAGAGGAAGATTGACACACGAATATTGTAAGGCACTAGTTGGTCTACAGAGGGTTCTCGTAATAAAACGACGTGTCCCCAAACCTCACTGCAGGGTTCTGGATATTTGCCAGCAGGACTGGAGACTTCATGCCGCGCACATACGTTGCTGTTAAGGCGTAATTTCGTTTTACCCGCTGTGTCTTTATTAATGAGTCGGTATAGCAAGCGTAACCACCACCTTCTCGGGCATGCGGGGGCGGCGGGTTCAATGTCACGGAAGGACTAGTCACACATAACCCTCGCATATTTAATGTCAACTACGTTACTACAGACTCTTCATTATACAGCTAACAAAGAGGTCCGCATCTCATGTCACGGACTTCTAGGCAAACGTCTTGGTTCCAGGTTAGGTCGTTGACATTTAAAACTTGTAAAGTCTACACGTCTAGCTTGCGGCTGAAATTCGTCTCGAAGTGGAGATTCCACCACAGACTAGATAGAAGGTGCCTTATCAGAAGTTTTCATCTTAAAATGTCGTAATCACTATCTTAGTGTATTAAAAGCTATATTCACAGTCGGCGTGATTAATTGCTTTGTCGTTCATATTAATTTTATCACATCGAAGCATCTTATCGGTTCCACTATTGGCGTCATTTTAGGAACCGCCGTAACGCGGATGGAATCCTGGGATATATCAGACTTATGAACAGTAATCCATTTCGTGTCGAATCAGATCGGGCTATTTATCAAGATTTCATGTATTACATGAACAAAAGAAACGCAGCGACAAATTCACTTTGGTTAAGTCAGATACAACGTGACGGGAGACGATATTGAGAGAGAGAAAGTGCGAGAGACTGGGTAGATGGTGCTTAGAGCCGTGTTGATGCCCAAGCGAAGTTTCTCGGCCACAGTTTCCCATTCCATCCAAGCCGCGTCGATGAAATTAGACATTATCAGGTCCATTTGTCTGCCTAAGGCTCATTGTAACAGCGCTCACGGTACCTCAACAATTACTGCCTTTATCTGCGAGTAGGAGTGATCTAATGAAGCCCGATATCCCACATACAGACCTGCAATTTTGGAGGACATTCGATCCTTGCGGTGGGCCGGGTTGTACCTCATGGTGGAAGTAACCAAATCACGGAGGAAATTAGTTCGGCGACCGAAATGACGTTTAAGTGGAGGGACGTGAATGTTGAATTACCGGAAAACACTGTTTTTGACGCCACTACCTTACAACAGAGTTGCTATATACAAACAGCTTCAGAAATTTCATGATTGGTGATCACTATACCCTAATGCGGGTACTATATATGATGGAAAACACATTTCACATTCAGGTCTCGTGATTTCATTTTTCAGTCCTCCATTCAACAGTCCCGCCATTCTACCTGATTTCTCAAAAATGTTTCTGGTGGAGTTTGATCTCGCAATCCTATTTTGCACGTAAGTCGTTTGATTCTTCGGTCACGTTTTCAGTGGCGTTTTCCAGTTTAACTCCTGATGGATGTTCCTCCGATGTCCTTGTGTGCAGACTTCAGAGTTAAGTCGCTAAAGTAACGCAGGCGTCCAATATTGCCGCACGCACAGCGAGAGCCAGATCTGAAACGATTCAGGTAAGATGTGACTAAGATGATAGATCACCTCCTAACATCACGAATTAATCCTTATTTATAGGCCAAGAACTAATCAAAATGGCATTGAAACCATCCGGGAAAACATTTTTTTCAAATCATCTACCCTTACAATAGCCTGGCTAAATCGTCTGACGTATATGCTACAAGATGTGTAGCGACTTCAAGGATGGGGTGAGGTATTGTCAGAGTTTAGAGTCCCTCGGAAATCTTAGTAAGGTTACTTTGAACATACCAACAATAGCTTCTATGCAAAATATATCCAAACTACCACATCGCTCTACTGAAGATATATAAACACTAACTAAAGTGCTTAATATGTTCTTTATACACTCTTATATGATTTATGTTTGCACCAAACAGTTCATTATGGCAGTCGTGCATTCAGGAGGCAAGGATATTATAAAGTTAGAGAACTTCATTCCGACACCATCAAATTTAACAGCGCTATCTTCACCAATCTTGATCGAAATGTATGTCCCCAGGAGACAGCAGTAACTTACGGTTTCATTCACGTTTCAGTGGCTAAGTGTAAAGTTTATGCGATATAGCCAAACTAACCGTTTTATGATAATCCCCAGATCCCAACACATCAATAATGGAACGGGGAAGTTAACAATAAAAGAGACGCTCGTCGCAAAATGATTGATACTATCTACTGTACCTTCTCTTTGATCGTCGTCCTTTTATCTAGATCGTCAAGAATCAGTGACAGGCGCACAAACTGTCGATATGTTTGAAGTTATTGGCGGCATGAGGATAGCTTAACGTGGCTTAGGGGATTCTGTGAATAGCATAACAGGACTGAGCTATCCGTGCTTCTGGTAGTGACGGAAAAGTTTTAAACCTCTGGTCTCGCCGTGACGGTAGGCGCTAACTTGGACGAGGAATGGATGTTGCATGGAAGACAACGCTGGACGGCCATACCTCGATGGGCTGCTGTGTTGGGAAGGCGTGACAGCCTCCACGAATGGTCCGAAATAAAATGAATTCTCTTACATCGATATATCCTGTCGTCTATCCACGAAAAAAAAAAACACTTTAAAAACGACACCGCTATTCACTAGCTTGGTCAGGCTGATTAACATCAGCTACCATCAGTACCATCGCCCACACTTGTTTTTGGTAATTAATAACGACAAAAACACGTGAGAACACACGATATAAGGTAACATAAACGCATGAGTGATTGATATTCCCCATAAGTCTCGCAATTTTCCACTTTCAAAGCTCCTATTGAAAAACTACAATCGACTTTCCATTTTACTTATCAGAGACTCGCTCGACTTAATTTTCGTGCCTCCAGCAAACGCTAACCTTTATCATACACTTCTGGCCAGCAATCCAGATAAAGCGAAGTCACCGTCATGCCTTTTGGCCATAAAATTCACAAGCCGTGACCACCGAAAAGAATCCAGGGCTGTACGGTGACCGATCCGTTAGCTATATCTACATGTACAACAGCACGGCGGAATGCTCCACTGCACACTGAAAGATGCCAGCTCGTCAGCACAATGTAAGTAGATGGTTGAGACATTGCAGGTAATTTAATTAAAGATAATATAATTTTTGTACATGTGTACTTTTGAAATA